TGACTCATTCATAAATCTAAGTCATTTGAACGCTCCACAAAGGGAAGAGATGCCAAAGACAATTAATCAGTCAAAATGACTTGATTAAGGCGCAAAAGGAGAGGTCCGGGTGATGTCAGCTGGCTCATTGGTGCTAAGGTAAATAAGGGCATATTATCGATAACCTGAATAAAGGAGGTAGTATGTCTACTGCTACTTGAAATGCTGTGACACAATTTGTCAGCAGGAGCAATCACCGCTGGCAGCATTTTGTGGTAGAACAAACATAGTATCTGCGGAATGCGATGGACTTTGTCTAACTCAGTTAACGTCCTACCTGTTGGAGAGGCCATTGTGGAGCGGATGAGGGTAGATCCACCAATCCGGCTTGGCTTTCAGATGTTGACAGACGTTTCGGCCTAGTGTGGGCAATAGGTCTGCGAGCAATTAGAATATCAGTGGGGGGCAGGGAAGATGGACGAGTAGATTGAAGAAAGGATAGGGAAGACGATTGAGCAGGAAGGGTGTATGAGCTTTTCGCAGTTTCGTTCGGTACAGTGTCAGCAAGAAAAGCCTGCTTAGTTGACAGTGGTGTAGGAGTCGGCGTGAATGGCATCGGTGAAGTGTCGGCATCCGCCGCCGACACACCTGGTAGAAGCAAGGCGTCTGGGGTGACGCGGAGGGGTGAGGCGATGACCAAAGACGACCCACCACTTTCACTGCTGCTGCTGCCACTTAGACCAAGGTAAATGCCAAATCCACTTGGCTCGACGTTACAATCTCCCTTATCGCCACTTTTACTAGCACTGCTGCCGAAACTTTTAACGAAGTCATTTTTGAGATCAACATTAGTACTCCCCAAGTAACTGGTGGTGCCACGTTCGATCATTCCTAAATTTTTCTTTAAGTCACGGGCTTTTAAAATATTTGAGTGGGATGATGCCGCAAAGTCCTCCGAGTTTGGAGCTTTCAAGAAAATCTTACACAGATCAGAGCATTTGGTTGGATTACGTACATAAAGGTCACTTTTCAGAGAAGCGATGGTGTTTGATTTCACACTCGTATGACAGTGTGTAGACTCGAGGAGGGCGTTTGAGGTAATGACATTAGGCAAATTATCGCAAAAATTTGAATTTATTCGCGTGCTATTCGCTAGGTGTCCCAGTGCAGATGACGGCTTAGCATTTAACTGAAGGGTAATTTCGAGATCGGATATAGGCTT